CCTCCATTCTAATAACTATAGTCTCTTTACAATTTATGTAACGGTAAAAGTTTCAACTTGATGACACCCTTTCAGCAAATCAACACAATAGGAAATTGTCACTGAATACCTGTCTTTGTTTGGCTCTCATTTGATCTACCATCACTGCAATACGCTCCTAAAATATACAAACAAGTGATTTGTATTTTGTGTTTATATGTAATTATATACAATATAAGCGGCCGATCTGTATTGGGAAATACAATCTCTAACTCTTGGTTGACAAAGAGTTAGAGATTTGGCCAACAAAAGTGGCGGACAGTATCCATCAAATCTCTATAGACCCCTTGCATGTGACGTCAAAGCAGCTTCATCTGGAGGACAAAACAAAAGATTTTTATCCTCTTGGGAACTAGAATCTATTGTTTTGTCCTCCAGTTGTAGCTGCATTCCCATGAACTGCAAGGGGTCTATATGTGATTGTTTTCGGCCTTAACAGGCATCTACAAAACGTAATAACTGTAGAAAAGGCAATTAATCTCCTCAAGAAAAATAACCGAAGAATATTGTAAATACTTGCAATTTTGACTATTCATTTTGCTAGATTGAAATCTATTAGTATTTTATATTTTTTCTAACATACTATTAGATCTCATTCTCTATTGTTATTATTTATTAACCCCCACCCTTTCCCTGCTCTGTATTCAAGACCTCCCCACGCAATACAAGGATAGTCATGTGACTACAATGGCGGTCAGAGTGGCTGTATAACTTATGAATTATTACTGATATATTATAATGTTAAATATATTATGTAATATTAAAAAACTCATACATAATTAATGACCTACTAGGCCAATAGAATGAGCGTATTTGGTCACATGCATGGACCTTTATATCTGATAAAACACTCTTTATTAGTATTCTTTATACAAAGAATACTAATAAGGGTGACCTTTATCAGATATAAAGGTCCATGACCCTAGCAAAGGTCCCAGGTTTGAAATCTGATCATTGACCAATGCAGGATGTCAACCGATTTCAGTGAACAGCCAA